TTCTACCTGGGTTAAGCTACGTAAAACAACCTGAGCGAAGAGTACTTCTACCCGGAACTATGAGCTGGATCCCCCTAGGCGAAACGGTTCTACCTGGGTTAAGCTATGAAAATGAGAGGTATAGATAGTAGTGATGCATGCTGAAAAATAAAATAAAATGGAGATTTTGAGGGACTTACCTTTGGTGATATTCGTCCTTTGAGAATTGCCATTCTGCATTGCTTTGTTCCTGCTTTAAACAAAGAAAAACTGTGAGTTTTCAAAGTGGTGGTTGGTTTGCGGCCTTGATACCCTAAGTATCTTGAAGTCACGGTCACTGCTGTAGAAGAACTGATTCTTCCAGTATGGTACTGAGATGTTTGGATACTCTGTATAGCTTCCTGGAGACTTTGGCTCTCCGATGTTGCCCCCGACTATTTCATATTCGGATGTCCATGGTACCACTAACCCTTGTCCCTAAGGCAAGGCAAATTTCCTTTAAGATAGAACTTATTTTTCTTGCAACTAGTACCAGTTCGTGTCTGTAGTGCTTATCATCTTTCCCCACGAAGCAAGTCTTGCTTAGGCGACTTTTTCAGTTTCTTTGAGACGCTTTGTTCGTCTTATCAAAAGAGATCACAGATAGATTCGTGCCTTCATCAATGCCGTATATGCCCCAAATTATGCTTGGTATTACAGGGAAACTATAGTCAATTTTGCAGCCATTTCTTTTCTTTGCTTTTGATGCAAGATTAGACCGGAAAATGAATCAAAGAAAAATTATGGGTTAAAATAGAAAATCAATTGAAAGTGAAAAAAAAGGAATTGTGTCTAAACAAAAGGTGCCCCTTTCGGGGGAGGGGAATAGGGAGACTTATCTGGAGGTATGTGCCGACTTCAATGAATCATGACATGCATTTTGGACTGGACGCTTGATTCGTATGAGCTGTCTAATTCTCAAAAATCTGTCGCAAATGTTCATCTTGAAACTGTCTTAGTTGTGCTCATATCGGAGTATCAAAGACCCTCATTCGGCTAGTAGCGCCCTTTGCGGGTTTTCGCTAACTGGACTCTCTCATTTCTTTTCTCACCATCGCCTTATAGTGCTCTTTGCGAGTTTTCACTACATGACTCTCTCATTTTCATTTTCTCTGCTCGTCATCGCCCTATGGTGCCCGCGAGGATTTTCACCAATAAGACTCTCTCATTTTATTTCTCATTTTGGTTGCATCAGATCCAAATAATTGTATCCTCCAATTCTTGATCATTCTCGTTGATTGATAGGAAGGACTTGAAAAGGATTTGGGTAAAAAGAATTTGGATTGAATTACAACTTTGGGACCTTTCAGGTGAAACCATCGCCGAACCATTGTAACATCTGCCCTAGTTTCAACTTTTGGGAGAATGTGGATTTTTGTTTTGGTGTGACTGAATCCCAGAGAGAGGCTGCCTATGTATCCTTTCAGAATCAAGTCGAACGTAGTTCAATGACTCAGATGATTTTATTATTATTATTATATTTTTTTACAAGTACACAAGTTCTAAAAGGAGAGAAACCCAAGAAGACAAATATGGCTCAAAAGGTTTAACAAAAGGGTGACACTTATTTGGGGTAGTGAACAAAGATAGCCTTCGTTATCTCGATCTGAGAAAATCGATGCGTGAAAGTTCTTCAGTGGGTATGTATCGAACATAATATCTTTTGACTGCATTTGCGTTAATTATCATGTCTGGTACCTGTCCTTCTTCATCTACCAAGTGCAAAGCCCCTTTTGGTAACACTTTCTTGATGATGTAGGATCCTTGCCAGTTCGGGGCGAACTTTCCTTTAGCTTCTACCTGGTGCGGAAGGATGCATTTTAAAACGAGCTGGCCTACCTCAAAGTGCCTCGGGCGCACTTTTTTATTATAAGCGCGTGCTATTCGTTGCTGGTATAACTGGCCAAAACATACTGCTGCCGTTTTTCATCAATCATCATTAGTTTTTCTAATCTGGTCTTGACCTACTCGGTGTATTCAATCTCTGATTCCACAATGATTCGGAGAGAGGGAATTTCAACTTCAGTCGGTATTATAGCTTCAGTTCCATAAACTAACAGATAAGGAGTTACACTCACAGATGTGCGAGCAGTCGTGTGGTATCCCAAAAGAGCAAAAGGCAACTTTTCATGCCATTGCCTGGACCCTTTAATCATCTTCCTAAGGATCTTCTTGATATTCTTGTTAGCTGCTTCAACGGCTCCATTAGCTTTAGGCCGGTAGGGTGTAGAATGGCGATGCACAATTTTAAATCGCTCTAATACCTCCTTCATCAGATGACTATTTAGATTGGTTGCATTATTAGTGATAATGGTCTTTGGGATATTAAAGCGACAGATGATGTTGGAATGAACAAAATCTACCACTTCTTTCTTGGTGACTGCCTTGAAAGTAACTGCCTCCACCCACTTGGTGAAGTAATCAATGGCGACCAGAATGAATCTATGCCCATTTGAAGCCTTTGGCTCGATTGGCCCAATAACATCCATTCCCCAAGCAACGAAAGGCCAAGGAGAGGACATGGGATGCAACTCCGAAGGAGGCGAGTGAATCAGGTCGCCATGAATCTGGCATTGGTGACACTTGCGAACGAAATTAAAGCAATCTCGCTCCATAGTAAGCCAATAATACCCTACTCGCAAAATCTTCTTTGGCAAAACATATCCATTCATGTGAGGTCCGCATACCCCCGAATACACTTCACTCATGACTCGCTCAGCTTCTATGGCATCTATGCATCTCAATAAGTTCAAATCTTAGGTCCTTTTGTAAAACATTTCCCCATTCAGGAAGAAACCGCCGGCGAGCCGCCTTATAGTTCTTTTTTTATCTCCCTTGGCATGCTCTGGGTATTCTGTTATTTTCAGGAATCGTTTTATGTCATGGTACCAAGGTTCACCATCTGGTTCTGTCTCAATAGTATTGCAGTAGCCATGTTGATTCTGAATTTGGATTTGCAGTGGATCAATATGGGTATTGCCTGGATAAGGGAGCATCGAGGCTAAGGTAGCCAAGGCGTCGTCTAGCTCATTTTGAAACCTGGGAATGTACCTGAATTCGATGGATTTGAATCTCTTGCTCAGGTCTCGTACACATTGTCTGTATTGAATAAGCTTGATGTCTCGAGTATCCCATTCACCTTGGGCTTGCCTGATAAGAAAGTCAGAATCTCCCATAACCAATAGTTCATGCATATCCAAATCAAGGGCCATTTTTAGACCCATTATACAAGCCTCATATTCCGTTATATTATTGGTACAGAAGAAACAAAGTCGGGCCGTTGCAGGGTAATGTTGTCCAATATGTGAGATAAGGATTGCCTCGATACCAACTCCTTTGATATTAACAGCCCCATCAAAATACATTTTCTATATACGGATGTCATCCGAAACTATTTCCTCTATTGAGTTGACCTCTTCGTCTGGGAAGTATATGCTCAGTGGCTTGTAGTCATCATCAACTGGATTCTCTGCCAAATGATCTGCCAAAGCTTGCGCTTTCATTGCGATGCGAGTGACATAGATGATGTCAAACTCTGTGAGTAGAATCTGCCATTTTGCGAGCCTTCTAGTGGGCATTGGATTTTGAAAGATGTACTTCAAAGGATTCATTCTGGATATGAGATAAGTAGTGTAGGCCGGGAGATAATGACTCAGCTTCTGAGCGACCCAAGTCAAAGCATAACATGTTCTTTCTAAAAAGGTATACTTAACCTCATAATTGGTGAACTTCTTGCTCAAATAATAGATTGACTATTCCTTTTTGCATGTTGCATCATGTTGCCCCAGAATGCATCCAAAGGAATTATCCATCACCAATAGATATAAAAACAAAGGCCTACCAGGTTCGGGTGGGACCAGTACATGAGATTTTGACAGATAATCTTTGATCCTGTCAAAAGCTTTTTGGCAATCGTCCGTCCACTTGATAGCAGCATCCTTTTTCAGCAAGTTAAAGATGGACCTGCATGTGTTTGTGAGCTGAGAAATGAACCTACTGATGTAGTTCAATCTCCCGAGCAAACTCATGACATCAGTTTTGTTCTTCGGGGGTGGCAGATCTCGAATGGACTTTATCTTAGATGGATCCACTTCAATGCCTCTCCGGCTGACTATAAAACCAAGGAGTTTCCCAGATGGCACCCCAAATGCACACTTGGATGGATTGAGCTTAAGGTCATACCTTCGAAGTCGCTCGAAAAACTTTTTCAAATCGCACACGTGATCAGCATGTGTCTTTGATTTTATGATGACATCATCAATATATACTTCAATCTCTTTATGCATCATGTCATGAAAAATGGTGGTCATGGCCCTCATGTAAGTTGCCCCCGTATTCTTTAAACCGAATGGCATAACCCTGTAACAATAAGTACCCCATGGAGTGGTGAAAGCGGTCTTTTTTGCATCATCCTCATCCATTAGAATCTGGTGGTATCCGACATAGCAATCCACAAGAGATTGTATCTCATTCTTAGCGCAGTTATCTACAAGTATGTGGATGTTTGGTAAGGGAAAATTATCCTTTGGACTTGCTTTTTTCAGGTCCTTGTAGTCAACACAGACTCTGGTTTTTCCATCCTTCTTGGGCACAAGCACACCATTTGCCATCCAGGTGGTGTATCGTACGACTCTAACTACATTGGCGCCTAATTGCTTCATTGTTTCCTCTTTGATTTTATCACTCATGTCCGTTTTAAATTTTCGTTGCTTCTGTTGGACTGGTGGAAAATCAGGATACGTGGGAAATTTATGAACCACTAAATCGGCACTTAAATCCGGCATATCATCATAAGATCAAGCAAACACATCTTTGTATTCAAATAAAATTTGAATCAAGGCATCTCTAGTTTCTTATTCAGCGTGAATGCTTATCTTTGTTTCTCTGACTTCTTCATGACCTCCGATATTAATTGGCTCAGTTTCATTGAGGTTGGACCTAGGCTTGTTTTCAAATTGTTCCAACTCTCTTTTTATTTCCTCAACAACCTCATTTTCATCATATTCGACCTTTTGATGCATTATTTCGAAATTAGACAGCTTTTTAAGATCTGTGCGTGAATTCCGCATGCATGTCATGTTATTAAAGCCGACATTAACAAAAATGAAATGGAAACAAAATGACAAGATTTAGGAAAAGGAAAAGATACAATACGAAATTTAACTGCATTTCATTGAATTTGAAAGGATAGAAGGGTTAACATCAAAATAAAATAATCATAGTGAGATGTTTGGATTACAACCCTGAAAGTAACCCAAATTATAAAAAGAAGTTGCAAAAGCAAACTACCAAGACTCTTTCCTTGTGGGGAGAGGAGTTGCTTCCCAGTTATTGAGCATGGTGTCTGGGCCAATTAGTTTCACATCGGCACAGCTAGTGCCTTCACCAGCCTGGATCATATTCACTTCAGAAAACATCTGGCTGAGGTCATGGCAAATTTCATCAATGTTTGCATGTGCCAAGGAATTTTGACCCTCTTGGAGTCATGGCTTAACAAAAGTGTACAAAATGTGAGGGATGGGCTGCTGCAAGACCCAACCATGCTTTTTGCGGTGCTTAGCTTTATCTTCATCTGCTTGTGTTGGCCTGAAACCTAATCCAAAAGTACCATTGTTTCTAAAGGGAGAGATGGGTTCCGAAATTCCTTACAATGATGCCCCCAAGCCTTTTCCTGGCTCATAACCTTGTCTCAGCATAAGTGCAACCACCATTACAGATGTGGCGGAAAGGCGAGGATGCAAAATGGGCTTTCCTTCCTCAACGTGGTCCACAACAACCACTTCGAAAGCCCGATAGATAATGGACTCGCACCCTTCCTTGGCCTCAATACACGAAATTAACGGATCTTTATAAATGGATAATTCGTCTTCTCCGTGAACAATAATCTCTTGCCTGTCATGTTCGAACTTGAGCATCTGATGCAAGGTGGATGGCACAGCTCGAGTTGTATGGATCCATGGCCTTCAGAAGAAATTTATAAGAAGTTTCCATGTCTACTACTTGGAAGACAATTTCAAAATCGACCGGCCCAATCGTCATGGTGAGGTTGATCTCCCCAATGGTATCTCCCGCTGAGCCATCAAAAGCCCGGATGCGAATATTGCTAGGTCGGATTCTGTTTGTATTGATCTTCATGCTTTGCAAGGTAGAGAGAGGGCATACATCTACACTCGAGCCTCCATCAACCATCGCTTTACATAATGCCCCTCACATTTGACAATCAGGTGCAAAGCCCAATTGTGCCCAGCTCCCTCATCTAGAAGTTCATCATCAGTAAAGTAGACATGTGCCTCATGTTTTACCTATGTCCGCTTTTATTGCTTTATTAGATTTATGAAAATTATCTTGAAATAAGTCACGCGTACGTGTACTCATTTTCGTTTGGTGTCAAGAATCATGTCACGCGTACGTGTACACAATCAATAACACATTTATTATTATTCGAAGTTGATTGGTCAAGTCATGTGAACGCGCACTTGTATTATTTTCCTAAATTAATTTGAAATTATTGTAAGACCTAGAGTTTATGAATAGGAAGTTATTTGGAAGTCGAAAAATATATTAGTTATTTAAAGTATTGGAAAGTCATCCACACTTAGAAATATTTACAACTTACTACTCTATCTTTGAAATTAGGAGACATTTATCCATTATGGAAGAATGAGCTAATTATTAGTCTAGTGACAAAATTATTGGGCCTCACAGATTTATACTCAATCCAACCCATGTCTAATTCTTTCTTTCCTATTAAATGTGGTAACTCATTTCTGGTTCACTTACTTGAACTCCAACGCATGGCCCATTAATATGACAAGATCTTCATTCTTAATTCTAAATAGCAAATCTCATTAAGATGAAATTCTATTCAAATAATTTGTTGACAAATCGCTTGAAACATGTAAAAAGAAACTACAACATGATAATATGTATAAATAAAATAACACAAAAAATTATCACATGAACCTCTATAAGAACATCACACAAAACAATGAAATAATTAACAAAGGGAGGATAAGCAATGAACCTTTAAGCAAAAAATTTCCTTCATAACTTGATTAATGCAAAAACAATTCTGAGCCGAGCAAATACACCAAACCAAGGGCAAATCGGCAGATGAGCAGAAAATCTAGTGACGAACCTTCTAAAATTTGAGCCCGGACCGAAACTCGATTGTACCTCGTGAGGCTGCTGGTTTTTGGCGTGAGAGAGGTGACTGTCAATGAAGCTTCACAAGGTGTTTTTAGGCTTGAATTTGAGATATTTTTGAGTCTTAAACAGGGTGATGAATTGCTTGAATTTTCGAAAGAAATAATGAAACGAGTAGAAATTTACTCAGCGCAGAAGAAGAATTTTCTCTCTCTTAATTCTCTCCTCTATTTTTTCCTCCCTTCTCCCCTTTTCTCCTCACATTTCTCTTCTATTTATAGGAAAACAATTCGGAATTTTTTCAGATTTTTTATATTTTATTTTATTATTTATTATTTTTTAATTAAAAAGAATTCCCACTTTCCTTTTTTCTTCTTTTTTTTAAAAAGTAATTCCCCATTTTACTTTACTTTTATTTTTTAATTTTTCACTCTGTTTACTTTACTCTTTTTTTATTTTTCACTTACTTTACTTTTCTTTTTTTTATTTCCACTTATTTTACTTTTCTTTTTTTTTTAAATTTCTACTTTCCTACCTTTACTTTTATTTTTTAATTCCAACTTCTTTTACTTTTTATTTTTTAAATTTCCACATTCTTTTGCTTTTATTTTTTTAATTTTTCACTTTCTTTTACTTTTTTAAAAAAATAATTTCCACCTACTTTTACTTTTAATTCTGTATTCCATACTTTTAATTTTCTTATTATTTTATTCCCATCCGAAAATTAAAAAAAAATATTATTTTTTCCCTTTTTGTTTAATTTGTTTTTTTAAAATAAAGATAAAAAATAAAAATAATACTAATAATAATAATTTGATCTTTTAAATTATTTTTAATTCTTACCCTATATTAAAAAAATGTAACAAAGCTAAAAAAAATATATATTAAATTTCTAAAAATATTTACATAGTAGAAGGTGGTAAAAATTTAAATATAATAAAAAATTAGGTGCTCACACTATTTAATTTTGTTTGATTGTATATTTTAGTTTATGGGGCTGAAAATATAGGTAAGTGCTGCGGGGTTGCAGAATTTATTACGAAGAAGATGATTTACTCGGCCATGG